TATATATATAAAAAATAGTTTCGTCCATATTGAACCGAATACAACATAACCCAACCCCCAGGGGAGATTAACAACCTTGGCTTTACAAGCTTACCAAGGTAACATGAAGTAAAGCTCCTCAAGCTATAAGCACAGTTCTTCTAGTAGGTACACAATCCAAACTAACAACTTGAAAGTGAAGATTTAAGCTATACGACAGCCTAGTAAGCTAAAAATACATAAACAAAAATAGAAAATACAAAAAATGTAGTTGCATCTTGGCTTCTAAGCCTGAGTTGTTGAGATAAGATTCAAAAGTCAAAACCATACAAAAAATTGGAAATGTACTGGTCCCTAGGTTCCAACAATCTCCATCCAACAGACAACCATAAAACCCATATTCCCAAGCTTACATTCTCTGCGTAGCGATTTATGAAAATTTAAGCCATTCTCTCAAAGCATAGTCTATTGTATCTTAAGCCATTTCTTCTTAAACACCTAAATATACCTCACTTTTCAGAGCCACCAGAGAAATTGTTGTTACATCCTTCTTTGCATAATTTTTAGTGGATTTACCTTCACAGATTGTGATCCACCTTTCTTAAGTTCCAGCTGCAAACTTTTTTAGCTTTGTCACACATAAAAATATGTTCTAATTCTAAACGACCTCCCTACACACCACACAACTCACATATGTTTTCTTGCTTTGATTTTCTTCTCCAAAGATTTGAAGTTGTGGCAGTGATTTTTTCGAAGTCTTCACACGAAATGTTATTTTATTTTTCACCTTGAGGGACCATGTTCTCTTCCACACTCTCATCAACAACTTCTGATTGGAGGCTACTCTCAGGTGTATCCTTTAAGTATTTAAGGAGTAGTTTCTATGCAAGCTTTAAATTCAATTTCCCTCCAAGGTGGCACACAACAAAATCGTAACAACTTTTTAGAGGAATACACATAGCCTTTGCATCTGCATCTGATTCAACAAAGGTAGTCATAATAGTTGAGTGCTCCGATATTTCCCATCACTACGTACAAGTTAATTAACCCATTCAAGGCCATGATGGTGCTTAAAGCTACCTATCAATTTGAAGGAAACATTGGAAGGATTCTAAGGTATACCCCAAATTCTAGTACTCCTCCCATCACCAAATATGATTCTCATGCCTGCATTTCTCTCGAGTCCTAGCCCGATTTTTCTAAACGCATGCACTATTTCTTTTTTAGCAATCCCCCCTTTTGAATACATCTAGCCCTAATCAATCCACTCAACAAGCATATATGATTTTAAAACCCTTTCCATGACTGTTTAGTTATTGGAGCAACAGTGAAAGTCTGAACGTTCTTAAAACCCAAACCCTTTCTTCCTTAAGATAAAGCCAGTTGGTCCCGTGAATTTTACTACTACTCGCCATTACAACCTCACCAAAATTTAGAGGTTAACCCTCCCTCATTCTTTTGGCTACCTTTTGTCATCTTGAATTATAACATGACACAAACAGGGAGAGTCCTCACACACGATTTGAAACACATCCCTTTTGGATATGCCATAACCATAGGTAGACTTAAATACTTAGCATTCACCTTGTCATTAATCCTTCCTAAATTGAAGCAAATGCTAGATCTTATAAAATTGTGAGTATTCTTGCTAAAGAAGCATGATGATATCTAAAAATTTACGAGTTGGCTTGTTTTATCTGTTAAATATCTCACAACTACAACATGATGCATGTCAGTTTACAAAATAATAGTCATGAACATCAACAAAGAAAAGATAGGTAATGTATAGGTACATTTTTGCAGATTCTTATCCTTTGATACCCCCGACTATGAATTCGATTCCTTGATAAGATATGAAAAAGCTTTTGAAACCAAAATGAAGAGGCAATGGGAATATATGATTTCCTTGTCCTATAGGGCTATGCAATAGGCTGTTATAAGGAGTAGGAGGTCGTGCTAACACTTTCCATCATATAGATTTTTTAATTTTTATTTTCATAAGCGTGGTATTTTTTTTTTAGTCGGAACAACTATTGGATATAATCTTTTAATTTGAAATCAAATTCAAATTTAATCCAACTTAACAATTCTCAATGTTATCATCAATTAATTACTACATAATTTCCAACAAAAATCACTATTCATCCACTTGAATATTTTTAACTACAGATCATTATTTTACTACTTTTACATCATATAAACTTCAGTCACTACATTTATTTTAACTCATCCATTTACAGACTCATAATCAAAACCAAGTTTCCACCCACTCAACCTTTTTCAATCTTAACTCACTTTATCCAATGAAGCAAATCAAATTAAAAAAAAAATCCAATCGCACCCTTACATGTGATCAAAACCCATTTTACTAATTACTGCAATCACACACACAAAAAAAAAACCATCCCACCCTATCAGAGCATCTCCAATGGCATAATGTCTTTTTAGATGTAAGGTGTGGAGAAAAGAAAAATAAATATTTTGTCTCTAATGGTTAATGTCAATTTTAGAATAATTTGACAGATCTAAGATAATGATTGGTTGGTGGAGAGAAATTTGTCTAGAAGACTTTCTGCATCTAGAAAGACTTCTATATATTTTAAATTCCACATTGGATTTTTGGGGTTATGTGGCAATGGATTATAGAAAACCATGGGCCATTGAGCTTTAACCATATCCAATTTAATTTCCATAAGTTAATTATTGTTTCTGCAGTTTTTGAGAAAGTGAAGACATATATGATCAATCACTACATTATCTAAAATGTCTCCTGGGATAAAAGTTGTTTGATTCTCAACATTTTTAATAATCTCATTATTGTAGTTTTTAGTATGGCGTTGTTAGTCAAACGATTTCGACAGTCATCCTTCTCCACCTTCGTTTGGCGGAGATCATTTCCTACCGATAGCATGATATTCCTCTAGAGCCTCTCGAAGAAGCAATTAGGAAAATTGCTGCTAGGCTGTTGAAGCAAGGCCAGACCATTACAAACTAGTGTACCAGTGGACATGGTTTATACATGGATTATGAGCAATAGAAGTATTCATTTCAAAACCATCCCATGTAGATTGAGATAGTTTACACATGGATTATGGGCCCACACGGCAATGATGATCCATTTTGTAGCAAGAATCCACAACCTTTCATGACATGGAAGGATTTGAAGATAAGTAAATTCTAAATTCTGTCATGAAAGGATTTGAAGATAAGTAAATTCTAAATTCTTCTTTTTGTAGTATATAATTTTGTATATTATTTACTTATCTCACATTTTTTTTCAAAGCCATTCTAGGAATCAAGCTGGTCCGTCATCTTTTGGATCTTTGGCCAGACTCAAAAGTCTGTGCTAATCTTAAGTCATGTTTGGAATGTTGTGTTCATCAGTATAATAAACATGACAGACATACATGATTTATCTTTAAGGAGTATGTAGAGCTTACCTTGAAGCTCACTATGAAGCTCGTTGACGCACACCCAGATGGGCTCAGTAGGTTTATTTAATTGAATTTAAATTAAGGAGTTGATTTAAGATTTCTTTTATTTATATTTTCTTTTTATTTTGTCCTAGATTCATGTTTTGGAGTGCAGATGAATGCTCCTATGTCGATAGCCGCAATACATGCCTCTCTGTCCATTCTATTCAAGAATTGGAGGTTGGGGAACATTTTCCAAGGGTTCTGTTCTGAGGTGGAAGTTCACGGGAGGGTGAGGACAATGAATGATGAGAACGTGACAGAGTTAAGAGTCTGGATAGACTCATTGTTCTGAACAACCATTAAGTCAAGTTTATATTCTCGGAAAGCAGTAAAAGCAAAAAGACCGGTTATGACCCAAATACCTTTGTCTTATCCATTCAAGGTATATTTATGGTTTTTTTATTAGAATTTATATTTGAGACAACAAGTTAT